AAGGTGTAGCAGTGGAAGCAGACGCGGTTGGGCCGGTTGTCGTCGTATTTCAGCGGAGCTCTGTAGTCGGAGCACCTGGCACACACCACCTGGGGAGGGGGGCCGGAGCGGCGGGGCCTGAGACCACGCCGCCCAGAGAGGACAGGCCCTTGCCCAGGGCGGCACAGCTAACAGACAAGGTGTGTCTTCCCCCGAGCTCCATGCAAAGTTTGCATTCCTCGCCCCCAGAGCAGCGCTCTTAACAGGAGAGGTTGGGCTGCTTGTGCCTTGCCAGGAAGACGGGCCATGGGACTCGGTGGTGGGGCCCAGCCCTGGCCCTCCCAGGGAAGCCCCCAAAAGGCTGGTGGAGACCAGGCAAAAGAGGCCCGAGAAGACTTGGACGGAAACGAGGAGCTGCAAGAACAGCTAAGGAGGAGACGCGGGTGTCAGGGAGTCCGGGCTGCAGGCTTGGAAGTGGGGGCGAGAGAAAGGCAGGGGGAGGAGGTCGCTCACAGGCAGGCGCTTTTCCGGGGCCTCGGTGCCCAGCAGGGTGTGTGGCCCGGCCTGCCCCGCCCTCATAGGATTCCTGTCTGGCAGGTGAGGGAGACAGAAACTGGGCACCCGAACCACCGAAAGGATGACTCACGACTCTCGCACGGAGGTACAGCGCACGGGCCGCCCTGACCCGGGAACAGGGCACCACACTCAGCCCGGGACTGCCCCGGGCTGCCCCTCCTCAGGAGGCCTGTGGTATCAGGTTGAGATATTTAAACTTTTCAATGTAATTAGATCTTTTTTTCCTCCTCCACTAATTTTTTATTTTGAAAATGTTCAAACTACAAATGGAAAGAACAGGGCCGGCAGGAGGTGAAGGTGCTGGAACCCATATGGCTGGGCAGTTCGAGTCCAGGACCTAGCGGCTGGGAACCATGCGAGGCCTGAGTGCACACGGGCCCAAAATCTTGAGAGGAAAATGGAGGGAGGAGAAAAGACAGCGGTGTGACCACCCCCCGTGGGAGGATGAGTTCTCACTTTCTCTCTCTCTGCCTCTCTCTGGTGAGCGCATGTGCCCTAAGAAAAAAACAAAAGGAAAACCCAGTACAGTGATACCCTGCTACCAAATTTACCAGTTAACATTTTTGCCATATTTGCATTCTCTCTGTGTGTATGTATTTTTTTTCTGAACCATTTGAGTATAAATTACCATCACATGACAGCTTCCCCTCGGTTATGTAGCTGGTATCTCCTAAGAACAAGGACATTGGGGCCAGCAGAGGGCGTAGCAGTTACGTTGCCAGATTCCCAAATGGCTGACAGTGGTTCGAGTCCTAGACCCGACTTGAAAATCACACTGGGCACGTGTGTGTGCATGCCCGAGATCCCAGGAGAATAGAGAAGGAGGGATTGTGGTGTGGCCATCCATCCTGGGGGGTGATTCCTCACTTTCCCTCTCACTGTCTGTCTCTCTGGTGAACACACGTGCTCTATAGCAGAAAAAAAATCTATGAGAAAAAAAAGAGAACAAAGGCATTCTTCAACCTAGCTGTAATTTTCACACCAATACAATATTATTATCTATATTTGACTCAAGATCGAATTTCTCCCGCGGTCCCCATAATGACCTACGTTTCTTCTCCCTGATTCGAAATCGGAGCAAGGATCATATGTTCCGTCTGGTCGTCGGAATATTTGATGTCTTCAGCCAGAGCAGTTTATAGCTTAAGTAGGCACAGGGGTGTTTGTTATTCTTTGTGCCTCTTTGCATTTCTCCATTATTTTGAATAAACTTTTAGGAACGACTTACGAGGTTGCAAGTGTGAGTTGAGTCAACTCTTAATCACAGGAGTGAGTCACCTAGAACAGTAGCTAGTTCCCAGATCCTTGCTATTTGGCTTTGGGATATAATTCATCATTTGCATCTCATGTAGGTGTGTCCTGAGCTTAGACATTTACTGTGTCTTGATTGCAACTTGACACATTTGAGGGACACCTCCCAGATTGGCCCCAACCCATCTAGCCAGACCGCTCCTGCCCCCTGGAGGTTATTAAAGACACAGCAGCAGAGGGCTCTGTGTTGGCCAGTGAATGACGGGTTATGATACCCACAGAGGACAGCTCGAGCGCAGCGGGTGGCGTGGAGGTTAAGGCACTGGACCCCACATGGCCAGCCGTGCAATCCAAGTTCCTGACCTGGTGGCTTGAAAAGCACATAGGGCACATGTGCACGTGTGCCCAAAATCCCAAAAGGAAACTGGAGAAGGAACTCTGGCGTGGCCATCCCCCCAGGTGGGGGATTTCTGTGAGTGCAGGTGTCCTATAGCAAAAAACTAAAAGTGAAAATAAATCAGAGCAAATCTGTGCCTTCCAACCAGCGTGGGCTGCTGAGGGGGAGAGGAGAAGACATGGTTCCTACCTCCGTCAGCTAGCGGCTCACTCTGCTGGCGGGCCCTGCCTTGGCGACGGGGCAGGGGAAGGAAGAGGAGTGGGAGCAGAGGGCTGGGAGAGAAGCTTCCATGCTGAACCCTCCCCAGCACCCTGACGGCAGGCACGCCACCCCACGGGGCAGGTGGGGGACCTGAGGCCTGAACAGGTGGGCAGTTAGCAAGCAGTCAGGGCCGGCGTGCTGAGGACTAGGGTAGCCCAGGCTGCTCAGGGGTGGTGGGCGGTGGGCACTAACAGGATGGGGCTGGTGAGGGTGTGGGTGTAAGGCCTGAGGGGGTCAAAGGGTTTGGGTGCCCCAGCCCAGACCTAAAGAACAGTTCCTGGTCCTGGGGACCTTGCAGGTGAATTAATAGGGTAGGTCTATGGGCCAAGGAAGTGGGGGGCTGTCCTGAACAAGTTATTTAACCCTCTGAGCCCCATTTCCCATCGGTAAAATGCCCCTGCTTCAGAGTGCACACCGTGAAGACCTGGCACAATCAGCCCTGATGCTGCTGAGCTGCCTTGGCTAAGGCCAGAGGGTTGGCCAGGAGGGAGAGAGCAGGGCCTGACCTGGGACGAGGAAGGCCTAGGTGGGGCAGGTGAAAGCCTAGGTGGGGCAGGTAGGCATCTAGGTGGAGTAGGCGAGGCCCAAGTAGAGCAGGTGAGGCCCAAGTAGAGCAGGTGAGGCCCAAGTAGAGCAGGTGAGGCCCAGGTGGGGCAGGTAAGGCCCAGGTGGGGCAGGTAAGGCCCAGATGGGACAGGTGGAGGCTCAGGTGAGACAGGTGGAGGCCAGGTGAGACAGGTGGAGGTTCAGGTGGGACAGGTAGAGGCCAAGTGGGACAGATGAAGCTCAGGTGGGATAGGTGGAAGCCAGGTGAGACAGGTAGAGGCCAGGTGGAACAGGTGGAGGTCGAGGTGGGACAGGTGAGGCCCAGATGGGCCAGAGGAGGCCTAAGTGGGCTAGGTGGAGGCAAGAGTGGCAGCAAGGATACTCACGTAGCCGCAGGCCCGGCAGTGGTGGCGACGGCGCGTCAGGGCGTTGAAGGGCTCCTGGCAGCGCATGCACATGGTCACCATCTTGTCCCGGACCCACTGTGGTGCCCGGAGGCCCAGCTCCTCAGTCTGCAGCTGTGGGCGGAGGGGAGTCAGGCAGGGGGTGCTCACTTCCCTGTGACAAGGGTTCTGTTGGGCTTCCTGATGTCCACGCGAAGCTGACTGAACTATAAAGACCTCATGATAGGGCAGTCACGATTCCTGTTCTACAGGTGGGGAAGCTGAGGCCCAGAGAAGTCAAGTGGCTCACCAAGTCACAGAGAACCAGAGTTCAGACCTCAAATCTCAGCTCAGGCCACCTTCTCCCTTGTCCTCACCGCATCCCCCTTTCTCAGGACTCGGGGACCTTCAAGCCCCTGACAGCGCCATGGCTGTGGCCAGAGTTACGTGCACCAGCCGTGAAAACCTCCCGGGACACTTGTGCACGGACGCTCCCCAGTGACATTCTTGCTAATGGGGCACTTTGGCACCGGGTCACTGAGGAGGGGGAGAAGGGCGGCAGATGAGGGGACTTCTCCAGATCTTCGTGTCATTCCTGGTGGTGGCGGGCCCTGCCTTCTGACCTGACCTGGGTGGAGCAGAGAAACGAGCCCTGTCTGGAGCAGGGGGCTCTAGGAGGGATGCAAAAGGCTCACTTACCTCCTGCTCCTGGGCGTCTCCCTCGGGTCCCTGGACCGCAGCCTTGAAGGTTTCATTCCGCTTCTCAATCTGGTCGATGGCTGCCTGGCAGGCCTGGGAAGAGGGAAGGTTGGGAGCGTGTGTGCGGGGGTGCCGGGCCTCGTTCCTCTGTCCATCCACCCAAGCACTCTCACACCATGGAAGCCACTGGGTGCCAGGAACGAGATTCTAAGCACACTTGGGCTGATTTAGGGAGGAGAAAGTATCAGCCCCGGATTGCAGATGTGAAAACTGAGGTTTTCAGAGAGGTTAAGTGACTTATTCCAGCCCACCCAGCTATGCAGTGGGGCAGCAAGATTCGAACCCAGGTCTGACTCCACACTACCACAGAGTACAAAGCAGCCGGGCACGCCAGGTGAGGGAGCAGACACACACATGCGTGCACGCGCACAGACACCCCCTCCCCCCTCAGCCTGAGCATGCTAGGGCCAGAGGACTAGGAGCCCTGGAGCATTCAGTACCTGCACCCAGGAAACCATCTCCTCCCGGGACCTGCTTGGGAAATGAACACAGGTGTTGAGGAGCACGGCCCCCAGCACCCGCCTGGCGTGACCCCGGCTCCCCTGCTTACCGGGCTTGCAGCTCCAGGGTGCGCTGCTTCCCGGACACCAGGAAGGAGTGGGGGAACTCGACGTCAGTCAGCTCCCGCACCTGCAGGGGCAGAGGGAGGGTGTTCGCTCAGACTTGCCACCCCCCAGGCATGGCACTGGGAGTGGAGCAGTGGACTGTGCCCGAGGGACAATTCAAATTTGTGGGCAGCACTGGGAAGCTTGCTCACCGCTTCTCGGATCCTGCAATGAGGCCTCACCCTAAGCACATGGGACCTTGAGCTCCGGTAATTTTTAAAAAATTTATTCTTATTATTAAAAATTGCTGTAGGGCACATGTGCTCACCAGAGAGGGAGAGAGAAAGTGAGAAAGCAAGCCGCCGGGTCCAGGACCTGAGACACGGTCAGTCACGTGGGAGTCCAGCACCTTAACCACCATGCCACCTGTGGGTACGCCTAGTATGTTTTTCAAACCTCCATGTTTGGGACTTGAACCACACCGTCAGCCATGTGGGATCCACCCACGTTCAGTATTTATTTAATTTTAATTTTATTTATTTATTTTCATTTGACCAGAGAGACAGAGAGAAAGCAAGCAGCAAGCCACCAGGTCCAGGACTCAAACTATGGCTGGCCATGTGGGAGTCTAGTACTTTAACCACCATCCACCTGCTGGTCCCCAAGAAGAGGTTTCTAATTATGGAATAGTATGGGGAAATCTGGCAAGATTCTGTGGCAGGTCACGGAGAGGGGAGAGAGAGAAGGGAGAAGTCGGTCCAGAAGTAGGAAAAATCCAATACTTCTGACACAAAAGGAGCTCCTGGCCTGAGAGTCCAGGCACCCCAGGGCATCCACACAGGGGCTTCCAGCTCCCAGTTAGGTTTGGAGAGTTCAGTTTCCCTCGCTCTCCTGCGCTTGCTTGCAACCACTCTCCCCAGGTCCTGGCCCTGCAGTGCCCTGCTAGTCCACGGGGTGCCTTTGTGTCCATTAGAAAAGGACAGCCTTCCTCAATACACTTTACTGACATCTGTCGGCAGGTCGGCATAATATCCGCAATTGTCGGAACAGGATGGTCGACTGCCCTCTGCTGGACAGTCCTCGCTGTGACTGCACGAGCTATGCCATTGTACCGCTGGGCAGATCTGCTGACCGCCGGAGGGGGCACCTTCTCCTACGCGGACGTTTGTGAAATGCACCATCCGCCCCGCCCTACGTGGAGACCCTAGGCGCGCACGTCAGCACCTCTTCCTTCTGGGCTGGAGGGCGACACGTTAAGACCACGTCAGACTTTGCGGAGCAGGGATGATGAAGCCAAGAGGTCAGAGGCCATTGGAAACTGCTGTGGTGACTGGAAGCCAGTCCTGCCTCCAACCCCCAAGGCAGAAGCTGCTTCCTGCACGGACACGGTGCTGGCGAACAGCTCTGCACCATGTCTCTGTATCTCTCTCTCTCTCTCTCTCTCTCTCCAGCAAGTGCATGCACCCTCTGGTAAAAACATCTGAAAATAAAATAATAATAATAAAACATATTCTGGGACTAGTAGGTGGCATGGTGGTTAAGGCCCTGGATCCCCAATAGCTCAGAGAGCAGTTCAAGTTCTGGACTCAGCAGCTTTAAAATCACACGGGGTGCCTGTGTGTGTGCCCAGAATCTCAAGAGGAGAATAGAAGAGAAAGGACCATGGCATGGGGGCGACGGCATGGCGATTATGTCAGAGACAGAGGTTCTAGACTCTGTCTCACCTGAGTCCCTAAGAGCTGGCCTGGTCACTCAAACTGCAATTGTTAAGCAAGTTGCTTAGCTTAGAAAAGTGGGTTTGGGATCAACAGTTAGCATAATGGCTATGTCACTAAACTCCCATGTAGTTGACTGCGGTTCAAGTCCCGGACCCGGTGGCTTAAATTTACGCTGGGCGTGTGTGCGTGTGCGTGCGTGCCCAAGATCCCAAGAAGAGAATGGAGGAGAAGGGATTACGGTGTGGCCATCCCCCTGGGGGATGATTTCTCGCTTTCTGTTTCTCTGTCTCTCTGTCTTTCTGGTGAGCACACGTGCCCTATAGCAAAAACCTCTCAAAAAAAAAAAAAGGTGGTTTTTAAAAAAAATTTTTTTAAAAATCACCAGTGGGTGCATATACTTGCTAGAGAGAGAGGCAGGGAAAGCACCACCTAATGGGGCATGGCCATGCCGCAATTCCTTCTCCTCTTCTCCATCCCAGCAGGACTGTGGGCAATGCACGCACACGTCTGGCATGATTTTCAAGCTGCAGGGATCCAGGTTTCTTTCTTCTTCTTCCTTTTTTTTTTTTTTTTTTTAATAGGGCATGTGCACTCACCAGAGACCAAGAAGGAAAGTGAGAAATTACCCCAGCCCCTGGAAGGATGGTCACATAACAATCCTTCTCCTCCATTCTTTTCTTGGGACTGTGGGCATGCACACACATGCACTCAGAGTGTTTTTCCAGCTGCTGGGTCCGGGACTCAAACCACAGACTCAGCCATGTGATCCAGCTGCTTTAACCTCCACATTCCCAGTTGGCCCCAGAATTATTTTTAAAACATTAATTAAAATATTCAGGAATCCAGCCCTGCAGTCTAGTGGGTACGGGAGCTGGATGGAACTGCATGCCTGCCACACAGGTAGAGGGGTGTGTGTGTGTGTGTGTGTGTGTGTGTGTGTGTATGTGTACACGCACATGCACGCATGCCCCAAATCCCAAAAGAATGGAGAAGTGGAGAAGGGATTGCAGTGTGACCACACCACTTTGGAGGGTGCTTTCTCTTTCTCTCTCTATCTCCCTCTGGTAAGCACACAGGCCCTTTGGCAATTAGAAAAAAAGCCTAGTCCCTCTGTCGTAGGGCTGTTATGAGGACATGACAGATGGTGCAGGGCCAGCTCGATCAATGGGCACTATTACGGATTGCTGTCCCTACGGCCACCTTTGGATGGGGACACACACAAGCCTACAGCTGACACTGCAGACCTTTCCTGCTCAAAATGTGGTCTGGGTACCCGTTACCAGAATCTTCGAGAGCTGCTTGGAAATGCAGGCTCTCTGGGGCCAGCAGGTGGCATAGTGGTTAAGGCACTGGCTTCCACATAGTCCACTGCAGTTTGAGTCCCAGACCCAGTGGCTTGAAACTCATACCAGGCGTGTGTACGTGCGCGCCCAAGATCTCCAGAGGAGAACAGAGGAGAGACTGCGGTGTGGCATCTGCCCTGGGGGGGGGTGATTTCCCACTGTCTGTCTCTCTCTGTCTCTCTGGCAAGTGCACCTGCCCTGTAGCAAAATCTCTCTAAAAAAAGAAATGCAGGTTCTCAGGCCCCACCCTGATCTCCCCACTCAGACCCTGGATCTAACAGGACGCTCAGGGAATGGTGCCCGCGTGGCAGTTTAGTTAAGCAGGGCTGCAGTTGGAAGGAGAGCAGACTGGGGCTGAGTAGGGTCAAGCACTGCCCTAGGAGTGGGCTGGACCTGTGGGGACCAGGCAAAGCCTGGGCGCAAGAGCTGGGAGCCCACACAGGCTACGTTCCCATCTCCGCAGTGCCCAGGACCTGCGTCCTCTCTCGCTGCCCCACTCAGTCCCACTCTCAGCGTGCAGCCTCCTGTGGTGGGGGCCCCTCACCTTCATCCCGGCCACGTCGATGCGCGTCCTCACCTGGAAGTGGGCGCCCACCTGGATGACCCTGGGCACGCAGTAGAGCAGCATGTTGTTGAACTGCAGGGGACAGGGCCGTGAGCGTGGGCAGTGGCGGGACAGGACCGGGGTCCGCAGGCTCCCAGAGTGTGTGCGGAGCATCCCCACGACCCCTCCCTCTCCCCACCCTGAGCCAGCTCACAGGACGTCATGGTGATGCGGAAGGAGCCATTTAGCTCCCAGCCCCACTAGGACAGTCACTGAAAGGTCACCCTACCTGGCCTTGAGGGACCACAGCAAATCTCAGAAGTCTATGAGGCCTTTTCACGGGGGCCCAGGGTGGTGGGAGCTTAGGAGAGACTGCTGGGCCCTCCCCCAGACCCAGGGCAGTTCTTGGTAGCTAACCCAGGTCCCTCCCGCTGTGCACTCTCCGGAGCAGGGTCAACACCCCAGGGCTGCAGCCAGACAGACCAGCACACCAGCTGCAGTGGAAAACCGCGGGTGGGAATCCCCGAGGCCTGGAGGCAGCTCGTGACCTTTCCAGTCATCAGCGCCAAAGCACAGGAGGACAGACAGGCAGGAGGTTTCCGGTGCCATGCCAGACAGAGGCCAGGCAGGCGGGACCTGGGCAGAGTGGCGGGGCACTCCCCTCCCCAGGGCGGCACGGCGCGCCCAGCACCCTCCTACCAAGAAGAGGTAGCGCTCCAAAGGGTCGCTGCGGCGGAAGGAGATCTTGAGGACCGGGCCCTCACGCAGCAGGGTGTTGGAGGGGTCCACTATGTCGTCCTCGAGGCCCAGGCGCTGGTACACCTCCCACAGGTCCTGCAGCCGCTCCTGGGACAGGGGTGCACCGTCAGCCGAGGCTGGCCGGGTTCCTTGTGGGGGAGGGCAGCAGTAGGGTCACAGCGTAATGTGGGGGAGAGGACAGGCCCCCAGGGCTCGGCTGGTCACCATCTCCTTGATGGCTGCGTTGGAGTGCTGCGCTGCGGAGAAGATCATGTCCAGGGCTTCTGGGAGGGAGCAGGGCCAGAGTCACTCCCTGAGCATCTGGGGCAGGGGGTTCTCAAAGCATAAGGAGGCTGCCTCAGTTCCTGCCAGGACACCCCAGGAGAGGCCCGCCTATGCGGCCAGCACACGGGATGTCTGGGTGGTGGGGGCTGTTTCCCACCAGGGTGGAAGTCCTGGGCACCGCTAAAATGCTCGCCAAAAGGTAAGACTTAGGCGTTTGGCTTCCCTGACTTTCACTGCTCCCTACACTAAGCCAGATTCAGAGACGGCTGTGGAAGGAGCACGGCTCTGGCATCACGTAGGCATAGGTTCAAATCCCAGCTCTGTTCTTTCCTGGCTACAAGACCTGGAGCAACCTCTCTGGGCATTCCAAGTCCTTGTCTGTTAAAAAAAATAAATAAAAATAAAAAAGGCTAACGGTGGGGCTGGCAGATGGTGTGGTGGTGAAGACGTTGGACTCCCCCATGGCCAACTGCGACTCAAGTTCCAGACCCAATGGCTTGAAAATGACACAGGGCACCTGTGCATGCATGCCTGAAATCCCAAGGGGAGAATGGAGGAGAGGGCCCTCCTCTCTGGGGGTGAGTTCTCACTTTCCCTCTCTGTCTTCTCTGCCTGTCTCTGACAAGTGCATATGCTCTATGGCAAAAACCTAAAAAAAAAGGCCGATGATGGGTCAGCCCCTGGTTAAGGTGGCCAGATCCCACACAGCTAACCACATGGTTCAAATCCTGGGTCTGATGACTTGAGAAACATGCCGGGTGCATGTGTGTGAGCCCCAAATCCCAAAGCAGGAAAAAAATAGAGGAGAGAGATTACACCATGACCATTCCCCATCCCCCCTTTACATTTTTTAAAAAATTGTTACAGTGGGGAGCCAGCAGTTAGCGTAATGGCTATGTCGCTGGACTCCCACATAGTCAACCGCGGTTCGCATCCCGGACCCGGTGGCTTAGAACTCACGCCAGGCGCGTGTGCGTGCGTGCCCAAGATCCCGAGAGGAGAATGGGGGAGAAAGGATTGCTGCGTGACCATCCCTCCTGGGGGGTGATTTCTTGCTTTCTGTCTCTCTGTCTCTCTCTGTCTGTCTGGAGAGCACACGTGCCCTATAGCAAAAAACCTCTCCGAAAAAAAAATTTTGTTACAGTGTATGTGTACGTGCCAGAGAGAGCGAGAGAGAGCGAGAGAGAGTGAGAGAGAGAGAGCGAGAGAGAGAGAGATGGAGAGAAGGAAAGCCGGGGGATAGCCACGCCTCACTCCCTTCTCTCCATTTTCCACTTAGGATTTGGGGCATGCACACCTACGTGCCCAGCATGTTTTTCTTTTCTTTCTTTTTGAAAAGGAATTATTTTATTTCATTTCATTTATTATCATCATAATTATTTGTTTAATTTGACTAGAGAGAGAGAGAGAGGAAAAGAGAAAGTAGGAAAACAAGCCTCCAGGTTTAGGACTCAAACCATGGTCAGCCATGTGAGAATCCACCACCTCAACCACCATGCCACCTGCTGACCCCATTAGAAAGCAAGCCACCAGGTCTGAGACTTGAACCATGGTCAGCCATGTGGGAGTCTAGCACCCTAAACCACCACACCACCTGCTGGTGCCATTAGAAAGCAGGCCACCAGTCCAGGACTTGAACTGCGCTGCTGGCAATGTGGGATCCAGCTGCCTTAACCATCATGCCACAGTTACTGGGATGGCTAGAGCCCACGAAGTGCCAGTGTTGAAGAACGATGGTCGTGACCGTTTTAGCAGGTGCTCAGTAAGTAGGTGGGAGTGGCTCGTCCTGCCCCCCAGCCCTCTGGGTCCCCGGGGGTCCTCACTCTGGGCATCGGCTCGGTCTGGGGCCTGGGCAGGCAGCTTCTGGACGTATTCCTTGAGCAGCAGCTCATAGCGCGGGATTCTCTGCACGGGTTCCAGCATGTGGTGCTGCAGGGTCAGGCTGCCCGAGGCCTCGCTGCTCTTGGGGAGGGATGGGGAAGCGATGGGGGAGGGTGAGGGGGTGGTGCCGGTCAGGCTGCTCCGAGGGCCAGGGTGGGGGGCACAGAGTGTGGGATGCTGAGGCCTGTGGAAGCAGCTGAGTCCGGGAGATGCCCACGGTCACTCGGGGGAAACTGAATCAGAGCACGCCGTGGGTGGCCGTGCAGACTCGTCCCCCACTCACCTGGATGCGGGTGATAACCTCCTGGAAGGGTGGGGACTTGTCCATCCAGGTGGCCAGGAGCTCGGCAGCTCGCTCGAAGTTCTTGACATACTCGCTGTACATCTTCAGGAACGGGGCCAGCTTCTGGATCACATCGCCAATGCGGGGCGTGGCCGTCCTGCAGGAGGGGCACCCAGGGATGGCCCTAAGCCAGTGGCTGTTTCTCTTGACTCCAGGCAGGGCCAGGTTAGGCCAGGCTCCCTGAACACCCCAAACAGTCTTTCCTCTGCTCTCTAGATGCCCGCATGGGGCTGGAGTGATGCCATCCTCACCCCACCTTAGACTGAGAGTCTCCTAAGGCGGATGCTGTTTCTATTTTGTCTTGTTTTTAGTTTTTGCCACAGATCACATGCGCTCGCCAGAGAGAGGGAAAGTGAGAAATCACCCCATTGGGGATGGTCATGCCACAGTCCCTTCTCCTCTTGGGGTTTTGGGCATGCACGCCTATGCGCCTGGTGTTAGTTTCAAGCCACCAGATCCAGGACTTGAACTGCGATTGGCCATGTGGGAATACAGCACCTTAACCACTATGCCATCTGCTGCTGGCTCCTCAACGTAATTCTTTTTTTTTAAGAGTTTTTTGCAGGACCAGTAGTTGGCATAATGGCTTTGTCACTGGACTCCCAGGTAGTTGACCACAGTTCAAGTCCCGGACTTGGTGGCTTAAACTCACACCGGGTGCATGTGCGTGCGTGCTCAAGAATGGAAGAGAAGGGGTTGCAGCATGGCCATCCTCCCTGGGAGGTGATTTCTCACTTTCTGTCTCTGTCTCTGTCTTTCTGGCGAGCGCACACACGCTATAGCAAAAAATCTCTCAAAAAAAAAAACAAAAAAAAAAAAAAAAAAAAAGAAAAACACATCATGACTTTTCCGACAACCTGATAAAGATGGAGCCCTGCATACCCATCACTGGGTTAAACACCTACCCACATCCTTTTTTGCCAAAGAATTTTAAAGAACATCCCAGACATGACAGCATTTCTGTGGCAAGAGGTTAAGCCAAGTAATTGTTTTAGCGGTCATCTCTGAACAAAGAGGGCTTCTAGAATAACCACGAGGCCATTACCACACGGTGGGCCAATGTCAAGACCGAGAGAGGCAGGTGTTGCCCAGGCTAGGCGTGCAGGGAGCCCTCAGCTGGGACTGTTTCCAGGGCCTCCTAAGTCACTCAGCCTGGCAGACCTGCTGCATCCTCTGCCCCGGACACACTCTCACACGGTCACACACATGTACCGCCCGAATGCACACACGTACACAGGTGCACATTTGCATGCACACGTTCACACACTCATGTACACCCACACATGCACACACGCCTCTCAGGTCTCGTCTGTCTAGCCCCTGGCTGGGCAGGCTGACCTATTCAGAGGGGGAGACTGCAGAGCCACAGGGCAAAGGCCCAGGGCTAATGAGCTGAACCAGGGCGGCAGCCGGGGCCTTGGGGCTCCTGGGAACCTCACCAGTGGTCCAGGCGCTGCTGCAGCTCTGGCAGGAAGAACTGTGCGTGGAACTGGTAGATGGAGGAGATGTTGGAGAAGATGAGCTTGACCACGTCCTCGGGGAAGGCCTTGCTGCTGCGGGCCTCCTTCAGCAGCTCCTGGAAGAACACCTGCAGCCGCCACCATCACCTGGTCACTCACTGTCACCGCACACTTGCCACACACCCACCCAGGAGGGTGGGGCCTCTCCAGCTTCCTGCAGGCTTTCGCCTCCTTAATCTCCTGCCATCCTCACAAGAGCTCCAGGAAGGGGGTGGGGCGTGTGTTCTGGCCATTTTGCAGATGGACAAACGAACTCCTGGACACACGGGGACTCGGCCAAAGGCTGAGTGCTAGAACGGGCCTATCCTGGGTCTGTCGTGGACTCAGACCTCACAGCTAACGCCCCCTGTGCTGACACTCAGTGATCTAACCCTCCAGCTGAGGGCGCCTTGGGGTGGGGTGGCAGAGAGGATGCGCGGGCCCTGAGAGAACTGACCGGTCTGTCCTCTGCTCTATGTGGGGCTGGCCAAGCAACAAGGGTGGAATCACCAGGAAACCCTGACTGGTACCCCAACTCCAGCCCAGGGTTAAAGGGTTAAAGCCCCCTGGAGTCAAGCACAGGAGACCTAATTCCCAGGTGGGGTGGGGACGCCTGGTGCTGGGCTGGGGACGGGGCACGTCCTGGCACTGGCCTGGTCCAGCAGGTGGAGGCGTGCCACGTAAGCCTGCTCCGTCTCCAGCAGCTCCTGAACAATCCGCTTCTCTCCAGGCTCCTGCAGGGGGTGTGGGGAGACAGGGAGAAGGGAGGGACGGCTTAGGTCTCCTCTATTGGGACCTTGGTTCCGTCTCCTAAAACAGCCCAGTGGAGCCCCCTCTCAACAGCCACACCTTCCCACAGAGCAGTGGGCCGGCTCTGGCATGGCTTCCACAGACGACAGGCGGGGCGAGGCCCGGCAGCTTCTCTCAGGGACTGTGAACTGCCACATCAAGAGGTCTGGCTGCCCTGATGTCCAGACCCCATGGAGGGTCTGGCAGAGAGAGCTGTCCAGAGGAGCCCTGCCTTCCATCTGCCCCCTCCTGCGACCAGTCGAGCTGAGCTATCCGGGGCCTCCCAGCCTCAGCCACCATGTGACTGAGCCGGTGAGAGACCTGCTTGGTCTGAATCCCCCGGCTGCCACTTCATATGTTGAAGCTCTCACTCGCCATGTAATTGCATTCAGCAATCAGATCTTTAAGGAGGCGACTGAGGTCACCAACAGATGGCGTAATGGTTACGTCGCTGGACTCCCACATAGTCAACTGCGGTTCGAGTCCTGGACGTAGTGGCTTAAAACTCACACTGGGTGTGTGTGTGTGCGTGCCCAAAATCCTAAGAGGAGAGTGGAGTCGAAGGGATTGCGACGTGACCGTCACCCACAGGGGTGATTTCTCGCTCTCTTTCTACCTCTGTCTCTCCAGCAAGTGCATGTGCCCTGTAGCAAAAATCTCTCTCTCTAAAAAAAAAAAAAATGTGAAGTGAGATCATAAGGTCCTATCCCTAAGCTGGTAGGACTGGTGTTCTTGTAAGAAGAGGAAGTGACCAGGGCTGGCAGGTGGAGTGGTGGTTAAGGGCGCTGGACTCCCACATGACCGACCGCGGTTTGAGTCCTGGACGTGGTGACTTGCTTTCTCACTTTCCCTCTCTCTCTTTCACTCGCTCGCTCTGTCCTTCTCTGGTCAAATAAAAATAAAAATAAATAAATAAATAAAGTTAAATAAAGTAATTCTTTAAAAAAAGAAAAAGAGGACAAGACAGCAGGGACGTATGTCCACAGAGGAAAGGCCACGTGAAGCAAGA